ACGGGGAAGGAGCCCTCCAGTGGCAGAGCTTCAGCATACACATACAGAGCAACCAAGTAACTGCACAGCCATGACCCGCTGAACTCTTGAATCCTACTCTGCTTGCTGTGAATGTTCTTTGTATTGGATTCCTACAGTGATTCTATGGGACTGTCAGTTTCTCAGAAGCAGAACGTATGTCACAGATTTATGGAAATATCTTACAATGGAACCCAACATTCCTCATGGCTTGATCCTATCTTAAGCTGCCAGCCAAATGCCAACTCACACTTGCCAACTGCACGGCAACTACCACACCCTGTCTGAACCTCTCTTCCTACCTTCTGTACAACAATACTTGGTCATTCATCTTTCCACTCTATTGAGAAGGTCCGTGGCACAGAAGTTGCCTTTTTCTATAAAACATTTAAGAAGTCAGTCTTACGCTCTCTGAAGCATAAGACACATTAAGAAGCTACTACACTGCAAGTGGCCTTAGAGTAATGATAGCAATGTATAATATCCTTTGGCAAGATTTTTTTACCTACCTTTCTCCTGTCAGAACACATTTCTTCTTCAGCAGGTACACTGGGCTCATCTCCAGCTTTCTTTTCCTCTTCTGGTTCTTTTACATTGTCTTCTGAATCCTGAGTTAACTCTTTGCTATCTAAGATCTCCAATCCGGGCATGCCCTGCCACTGCAGCCGGAGTGGAGATACATGATCATAATAAGTGTGCAATATGCGAATGGCAACACTGCTCAATGCCAGAGACTTTGGAAGTTCAAATCCATGCTGTGCATCACAAAACACATGACTTTTGAACCTGTAAATAACAGTGAAAAAAATTAACAGTCTCTAGTAAGATGGGCAGCACCTGTATTTCTTCTTAAGTATTCAAACCACACTATAAGTCACCTACATTCTCTTTTATCTATGGAACAGGGTGAGATGTCACAATACACTTCCTGTCTTGTACTGACAGCTTTCTGTGACCCCTCCAGAAAAGCTGTAACACAATAAGGGGATTAGGAGCTGCAAAAATAACGGTCCTGATGGGATGACAAGGAGGCAGAGTCAGATGGCAGCTCTTCTGCACAGTACATTCCTGGTAAAACAGACTAATGTACTTCCTACATTGGTGAAGCCCCCAGCTGTCTGTGTTACATCAGTTTCAGCACCTTCCACATACAGCCCAAAGAGATACACAGATGTAAAGGTGACTTTGGTAACCGTATTAAACACCCACCAACCCTTGTGACATTGTAGGAAACAGGCTGACTTGCATCAAAGCAAGTACCTAACTTGTGAGCTTGACTTCTTTCACCAATCTGAATGTTTCTTGCTCATTGCCCAACCAAAGCCAGAACAATTCAAATAATACTTATTTTCAGATAAGTCCTAAAAATCTTCTAGCAAAACATCATTGTCTTTTTTTAATTCTTGGTTTAAAATTTTAAGTGCACCTCTAAGCTGACCAAAAGGCTTTAACACTAACCCAAATGGGCTCTTTCTGCAGATTAGGCTGACACTGCTCAGCACCCAGCCTTGTAGATATTTTAGCAAAGCTTCCACCAACAGGCTCTTGGTCAAGGCAAAGTCCTTTTACCAATTTATTCCTTATATTTGCAGAGTGGAAGTAGGAAGACCACTTAAGCATCTTGTTTTTAGAAATATATCAGCTAAATAGTATTCTAATAATACAAAAAAATGGATTCAGAACCAACAATGGAGAATACCTGCATCCCAGGCTCTGAAATCTTTGATCTAAGAGAAAATTGGGCAAAAGCAAAGAATTATTCACTGCTTTGCAAGAAACTGTAACAGCTTGGAAACTTCTAATGCATCAGCCAAAAACCTTACTGCCAGAGGAATTTCAATTCTCTGAATGATTTTCACTGTCGTCCTTTAAAAATTGTTTTGGCAGTAACAAGGTTCTACTGCATCATTTTAAGAAACAAATTTTATATATATATACACAAATATATATTTATCTAATATATAAACCACTCCTATTTCTTTAATAAAAATCTGATGTAACCAGTACCTTCCTTAGCAACAGGATGGTATAAAACCCACCAGATGGAAGCCTGTAGAATAAATGCTATTCAACATTAAAAGGATTATGAGAAACTAGTTTTTGGTGTTTACTTGGCTTGGTTAAACAAGACCAGGCTTCATTTCAGATTCAGAATTTCAGTAATGCTGTACCTTATTTTCTTCTTCAGATTGCCCCAGATACAGAAAGTAACATTTTCATCTTTTATGACTACCTGCATATTTCCAGTGTAAGGATCTTCATGTTTATCAGCTGTCTATAAAGAAGAAAAAAAAAAAAAAAAAAAAAAGGAGGTTAATTCATGTTTTCTTATTTAGAATCCTTCAGTTTACTTACATTTACACTTGAATAAACAAAAGAAGGGACATGGGAATAAAAATACATCAGACTAAGCTCACGTATGTTGTATTTATGTATTAAAATGTGACAGTAATAAACTCAAGGATCTTGTTCAAATTTGAAGTATGTTCTGTTTCTTCCTCTGATTTTATCAATTCTGTCAGTCAAAATACCACCAAATATGAGATCTTACATTACCCCCTTCACTGGCACTGCCCCTGCCCCTTAATCATGTGCCCTCAAAAATACTTCTTAGGACAAGTTAAAAAACATACAGACAAAGAATTTAGTAAGCAATAAAGCACAACCAACAGCCACTGCAGATTATTCACATTTTTGTCAACATACAACTTGAAAAATGATAATTACATTAATAGTGTAATCATATACTCAGTAAAAATAATTTAAAAATATGTCTTAATTTGCAGAGGGTTTTGACTGTGAACAAACATCCCACCAATTCACTAGTTCCTTTACTTCTCTTCCTTTTTTTTGTTTCATCAAGCAATATTAATCTTCTAAATGTACTTACATATATGGTTAGTATACTTAAAAATAACAAGCAAAATCACTACTTATACCTACAACCCAGAAAACTGATTCCCAAGTACATTTTCTTCTGTCAATACTCATTACTCTCCCCAAGACGTCAGTTCAAAAAATCTTCTAGTCATATGAATTTGTATTAAAATACGTGTACAAGATAACCTTATGGGCTGCTTTTCACATTTGCAATTTTTTGTCCAGCCAACTAACTACCTTTAATTTAAATAATTGGGACAAAATAGGAAACAAATTTCATACAGCACTCCCTGTTCTCAGCATCTCCAAATTTCACAAAATGTCACAATAATTTAGTATTAAATGCCTCAATGAGAATTTCCACTCCAAAGCTAAGATTTGCAGAGGTTTTGAAGCAATAAAAATCTGGTATCTGCTGTACACATGGTTCAAAAACTCAAATATTGAATTTGGAAATTAAAATACTAGTCTCTGTGAAAATTTAAGAACAAACAAAACCAACCCTCACAAGCTAACCTTATGTGCACTGGGCATATTACAGCATCAAAGTAGTAAACCTTACTTACTTTAAGCAGGTGTTCTGTTACTTCATTGTACTTCTGATGAAGCAGATTCTGCAATTCCAGAATAGTTTCCTGGTACTGGATTGTTTCTTTTTCTGTTATCTCACCAGGCAGTGTGTCCAATAAAAGAAACTGCAGCTTCTCAATTAACTAGAAGACATTGTATGTGGGAAAAGTATCTTTGTTTTGACACCAGAAGACATTGTATGTGGGAAAAGTATCTTTGACACTACCCTTAATATACTGTGTGTTTTGTCATTAAACAATGAGGTAAACTTGCTTCCTTTGTACCTAAACATATCTTGGTCACAGAAATAATCTTTTTCTATTACATCTCTAGAAACTGTGCCAAGCCAGCATTACCAGACAGACTGCCAACCATGCAAAGTGATGGAAATTCCAGGGTTAAGTCTGTCTTTCATTCCTCTAGTCCAATTCCTTCACTCCTTAACTTGCGGGCTGTGAAATCTTAGGTTATGAAACAGATAATTTATTAGACCAGATTGGTCATATGAAGAAAACTTTTTGGTCAAAAATCAGTTTTAATTACAAGTGTAAAGCTTTATTTTGGAACCACATTTTCTACAGTAATAATCTCAACTACAAAATCTTTAAAAAAAAATTAAATAGGAAGTCATACAGCAATTACATTTTAATTCTCAGAACAATCCCTACCATGGAACACTGTCATAACGTTGGTGTCTTCCACTACATGCTAGTATCTTAACACCTAAATGCTTGTATAGAACTAAAAAATTCCCAGCTGGCAAAGTGACCTGCAGCACTAAGATGAAGGGAGAATCAGATTATACTTTATGCCTCCTTTCAGACTTGCCAGACTCTTCTTCCTCTTAGCCTGAGGAATGACAGCACCACTGCTCATTAACTGTGTTGCAAAGCAGCAGCAGAACTGTAACTACTGCTATCTTTTTTGCATTGCACCTTTAACGTGGTCAACCACAATATTGAAGTGGTCCCTGTCAACTCTGAACTGCTGATCTCCATGAGCCCACAGTATTCAAGAGATTCCTCTAAAAGCATACAGAAGAGGAAGGCAATGCTCAAGTGTTTTACACCAAGAGAACACAGACAGTATTTCGGACATCACCTTACACTTCCAGTAGGGATGAAAGAAGAATGCCTGTCTCCTGGTGTCACATCATGCTCTGCTGAGCACAGAGTGCAAGGTAGCACACATTTACAGGACCTGAAGTGAATGGGACTACTTCAGTGTTGGGTGGGAAGCACACAGTGGGGGAAGGAAGTGTGTTTGCGGGAAAGAAGAGACAACTGGGAGAAAAGTGGTGAGAAGGAATGGAAGTGGGCAATTGTCATGCTTTTTGCTGGGTAGCAGTGCACAAGAGAAAGGAGAGTTACCTGTTGAAATTCTTGGAAAGGAACAGGAACATTCCCTGCTAGCTCAGAAAAAGGCAGAGTACAAAAGGTGAAAACTGCAAGCATTGTAAGATAGGAGACCTAACACTTAAAACCACACCAGCCCAACGAAATCTGTATTATATACACAACTTTCACCCCCAGCTTCTGGAAGACCCCATTACACTATAATGTCAGCATAAATGAAAATAAACCCTAAATTTACAGAGCAGCCACAAAAATTGTTTGGCAAGCCACCAATGGTTAGTGGCTTGCATTTTGGGTACTCCTGCTCTTACGTGACACTTTACTGGCTTTGGGAGTCACACAGTAAGGCTGCTGTCCACTGGAGCACCTATGTATGACATGAGCTTTCATGTTCTGGCTCAAGACTGTTAAAAAGTAAGAAAAAAACCACCACATTTAAAAACTGAAGAAAAACTTCTGGGTTTTGAAGCTTATAGACAATTTCAGTCATTTGGCCTCCCCCCAAAAAAAGGAAAAAAAAGGGGAGAGGGCTGTTAAGGATACGTTCTAAGCTCAAAGTAAAAAATATAATTTTAACACTTACATTTAGTACCAGTTCCCCCTTCTTCATCACAAGTTTAATGTCCTCACTTGGATCATCACGCCATAAGCTCATGAAGGTATTTATTTCCTGCAGCACAGTTGGGTCAGGATTTCCATCACAACTCAGGTAATGCTCCCACTACAGAAAATGGTCAAAGAAAAGCAGACACAGGCATGTGGTGCAAATGACCATCATAACAAGAAAAAGGAAGATTCTGAAAAGGAAATATATTATAGTGATGAATTCATACCTGCACCTGAAAAAGGACTGTAACAGCATCTGGCTTATCACTATACCAGAAAAAAAATTGTTGACTTTGATATTAATATGTTAAGATACTTCTGCCCCCCTAACATTTGCTGTTTATACTTACTCAGTGATTTCTGTTCTGCTAGGCAGAGCTTGCCTGTCTGCAAAAAGCCATTAATTCAGTACCTGCCACAAATGAGGGGCTGAAAGAATAAATGAGAACATAAATGAGGAACCAGTGCAGGTGGAAGAGGCAGATGGTTGTCAAACCAGACACTGCCAACAAAACTGAAAACTCCTACAGTGGCAATAAAGCTGCTTCTACTCCAACACATTTATTCCTCCTTTCTCTGCCTCTGAAGGAGACTTCCTCCTCCTTACCATCACCAATTCACTGATACATAAACCCCTGGCAGGAATGTGAAATCCTTTGGTTTTTTTTATTTTCTTTGAACTATTTTATTTTCAAATCAATTGTTGGTCATTTTTATAGGTGGGGGAAGAAAAAAAAAATCAGCAACAGGCTAAACTCACTTAACTCTACATGAGCTTAACATTGGCTCGTGGGATCAATTTATCACCTACAATGTCATTTTTTTCATCCTTATAATAAGATATTACAGAAGCATTGCCTCCCTGTTTACTCTAAAGATTAATAACTGAAGATTGCATTACAATGTAAAATGGACCTTTTAAAGTAAAGGTACTTCTATAATTGTGCTCAACCACTTCCATAAACATTTCCACTGACTCAAAATAAAATAGGAGTAGGTGAGTGCTCAGTGCACTGGAAGCTCCTGTGTAAGAGATTGGTCAGTTTTCAGTAATTAAAACATCTAATTTTTTTTTTACATCTCTGCACTTTGAAGAGATTCAGCTACATCATCAGGAAAACACATCCTTAAAAATAACTGCACTTGTTCTTTCAGAAAAAGGATAAATGTCATGATCATTTGTAAAAGTATCTGTTAATCTGAGCTGAAATTGTTCAGACATGGACATGGGAAATTAGCATTTGATATTCTTTACTTCTAATAATAATACAAGCTCTGGAATTTCCCACCATCTACCAGTATTTTATTTGAAGATTTGTTTTTAAAATAATAGTTGTATTTTGCCATCAGTTTCCAAAACAAACAAAAAAGTTCTAATGCTTCTCCTTCCAAAAAGTACACTTCAGAAATACCCATAAGTAACAACTGTCCCCTTTCAAAGTGACAGACAATTCTTTTGTTCACACAGACAATAAAGACAGCTTGTCATCAACTGAAAAAGGGAATAAAAAATCATCCCAAGGTATCAGGACATGACTGTGCAGCTACCATGCTGCTCTCTTGTGGCAACGAAGGCTAAGGGCACAGCAGGCTACACCAGCAAGATGGTCACCAGCCACCCTGTGACTGTTACCTCTGTGGGGCTCCCGAAGCCACATCTGCAGCTCTGCATCCAGTTTTGGGTCCCTCAGTAGAAGAGAGAGAATGGCAAACTGCAGAGTCCAGAGGAGGGACATGAAGATGGTTAGAATACTTTAGGAAACAACACATGCTTTGTCAGTCAGGAGAGGACTAACAAAGCTAAAGGAGGAATTAATGGCAATCTACCAGGACCTAGAGAGGAGTTATAGAGATGACAGAGGCAAACCTTTCTCAGCGGTGCCGAGGGATGATCTGTCATGACAAAGAAGCAAAGATCACTGTTTGTAGCAAGTGAAATACTAATTGGATTAAAGAAAAAATATTAAAATGAGAGTGGCAAAGCAGTCAACTAGGTTGTCCAGCAATAGTGTGGTATGCTTAGAAATTTTCAAAACTCAACTGAGCACCTGGATCTAACATTAGAGCTTGCCCTCATTTCTGCAGAAGATATATGAGTTTCAGAAGTCTCTTCTAACATGATTTACCCTATGATTCTTAATTTGTCCCACTGAGGCTTAATAAGGGATTAAGTGATAGACAAGACAAAGAGAAAATCCTTGGGTCTACAAGTCTTTTTAACCTTACTCAGAACCAAACTGACCAAATATCATTATCAGGCAGTTACCAAACTATGTTTGATGGATTTACACCAGTGAGACGTTCTCCTAGTATATTTATTTAGTATATATATAATGTAAAATTTAACTTTACAGGCATCTAGTACTATTGGGTGATAATTCAATTTCCATCTGTGTCACCCTAGACTGCAGACATTAACTCTTAGCTGCATTTTCACATATTTCAGGCCCTGATTTCCAATTCACATTTCCAACTCAAGTTTTGCCCAACCTTTCTCTGAATGATGACCTGAGATACCCAGGAACGACTGGAACACATGCTCTCAATTGTCTCAAATTCTACAAAAATACCTGTAATCCCTCACAGAACTTTTATATGGAATGTTTAAAAGTGGAACGAGTTAAACAAATAGGAAAACAAGGACAAATAGCAAAACACCTGAAACTGAAGTTCCACTTGATTGCTGAAGTAATCTGTGGGGCCCTAATGCTTTGATCAGCCAGACAGGCTTCTCTTTGCCCATGTTCTTCTGTGCACAACAAAGTACAGAAGATAGAAGAAAGGGAGGATGGCCAGTTACAACCTTGAGATGGAACTTGCAATGCAGCCAGAGCACACACCTAAGCTCCAGAAATTGAAGCATTCCTGGAACCAGGAATGGAAACATACTCTAAAATCTATTCATTGTCAAACCTCTACAAAACTGGGCAGATTTTGGGAAAAGCTTACCTTTGCCTGTGTTCTATAATCTGCTTTCCACTGTTGTGCAAGCGAAAACTTCTGTTCCAGTGAATGAAGTTTTGTTTGTTCAGCCTCCCTTCGTTCTCGATCCTGTTAAAATACACAGATAACAAACAGAGGAGATAAATATTTGGTTTACTACTTACAATTACTCTATTTCAAAGGGAAAAAAAAAAAAAAAAGGAGATTTAAATGAGTTATCATTTAGACAAATCCAAACACTGCTAACTTGCTTGTTTGTGAAACACTTAATTAGGAAGACTGCAGCAGTTCACAATCTGTTATTCTCATCACATTAGTTGCTCAGTCATATGATAAACATAACGTGTCATATGATCGTTAACCTCCCATGTGAACAGTTCCCATATCATCATTCTGGAACTACCCCTAATGACAACTTCTGAAAAAATGTAGGCATATGTTGGAAAAATATGTGCAAGATTATTACTTTCCCCTTGTTACTTCTATTATTTTAAATTTGTCTTCTCTCTAGGGGAAAAAATATTCTGTGAAGGACAAGAGACACAGGCAAGAGTGACTTCTCTTCTGCAGTGGGGGAAATTGTGGTAATTCTCCTTTTTTTTCTTTAAACACAAAAATATTTAGGTATTACCAATCAGTTTTTGTTCTGAATTCCAGTGTCCTTAGAGATAAACATACCTATTCAAATATCCACACACAAAAATACATACACACATGCATGCACACAAATCAGTGTATCTATCTTAATATGTAATCACTTCTAGAATTTATACCAAAATTTTCTTGCTACAATTGTACCAAATGTAATGATTGGAAACAAAAACTAGATCTAATTGGAAGTGGACAAAATCCATAGTGGAAATGGGAAAGAAAAAGTACTTATTCAAACTGTTCAAAACACATCTCCCAAAAGGTAGTGTATTTAAGCACAGCATCTTTATATATCAAAACCAGGCAAGACTATCTTGTCTCAGTGAATTTTCTGAATCAAAACAACACTAACCCAAATACTGGCTTAGTGAAAGAACACTACAGAAAACAACTCAGCACTATTTCTCTTGAATTTACAAGTACTGTGCTTTATTTAATTACTAATCCAGCTAACTACCTTCTCAACTTGTGGAACATTACACAAGCACACCTTTCAGTAATTTTGCTAGATTTTTCATTATTAATTTTCATCTAGTGATGCTAGAAACTTTCATCTCCCTTGTTCCCAGTGATAAAGACATAAGGAAAACCCTTTCCATTCTCACAGTAAATGAATAATGGTTTACAGACTTTGTAACAAGTTTGGAAATAGGATTAGAATTTTTCAGGAACTTGAGTGTGAACTAACTTTTGCCTTAAGCTTTTCCATCTCAATTCTCTCCCTCTCAAGTCTTGCTTCTTCTTCTAGTTGAGCTTGGATTCGGGCTTCCTCTGAAGATTGGGAAATACATTAAAAGCATAATTATATTTTGTTTAATAAAACCAGGCAAATTGTTTTGTTATTAGCTGTAATGACAAAACAAGCATAAAAATGAGCAACACAAGGGTGTATCTTCTACTGCACAGGAATCTTGCAAATAAGCCAAATTACTTGGAGTCATAGTACTAAAACTCTATGGCACTACCCTTAACAGCCTGTAAGGATCAGGAAGCTCTCTTCTTCCTCTCAGAAACAGCCCCAAGTTCTTAATCCAATGTCTGTGGTGAAAGTGCCAGAGTGGTTCAGTACCAAATTACTCTTCTTCTCTCCTACAACCTTTGGTGGGTACCTCAATCTCATAGATACTTGTTCATTTAAATCCTCTTCAGCATCAGTTACTCCTGATCACAGTTCTAGTGTTTCTTTGTTGCCACAGGGACTAGAAAATCCAAGAGGCTGTGAAAACTAAAATTTATTTCAATCTCAAAAGCTTCACCTTATGCATCAATCCAGATGTTTCCAAGCAGTGGTCTGAATGTCACTGCTACTTGCAGATGACTTTAAATACATCTGTGTTGCACAAAGGTAGGAGCCATGGCAGTTCTCAAATCTGCCTGTACTCCCCTGAGCAGCTACTCCAATCCACAGAGGCTACTAGTGATGAGTAGTCACTATTACTAGCAGTCACAGCATGTCCAACCTCCCACCAGGATGGATTAATGGCAGAATGAGAAGCAGGAGAGATGGATGTGATGTTCAGAGAGGGGTATCAGGTTGTGATGCTAAAGTGCAGAAGCAGACACTGTCAGAGGGGAAGGATGGGCCAAGTCATGCACCTGGGATTTCATTTTAAGGGCTAGTCACATACAGTAGAAAGATCTGGAAGTGGATGGAGGAATCAGTCACTCAGTAGAAACAGAAGAAGTAAAGCAAACTACAGTCTCTCCTAGTAGGGGGTCACCTCTGCTACCCGTTCAGAGTACCAGATAGCCCCCTGCCAACCTAAGTATTCTGTTGGCCTTCTTTGGGAAAAGTCCTTTTCAGGCTACCTGGCTACTAAAAACAAGGTTTGAAAGAGGAGGAGAAAAAACCCAAAACTTCAAAACCCTGCATTTAGAACTTGCTGACAATATTTCAAAAAGGTAGTAATAGTGGGAGAAAAAAAATGAATTCTTTCAGCCACCCTCCATCAATCATGGTAGAAGTAATTAGAGAAAAAGAAGATGGCTCTAATAGGGAAGTGAGATGTGGGAGGCTCTAACAAGTAACACAGAATTTAGCCCACACAAGAAAAGATGGATGAATCACCTGTATTTATAAAATCAGGATATTACTGCACATATACTTGAGGAGCTAACTTTCTGTCCATTTAATTAAAAGAAGTGACTTGTGCCATCATATTTCCTGTAAATGAAGTGCACGGTACCTTCCTCCCTCAGCCTCCTTTCCTCTTCTTCTCTCTTCATTCTCAGTCGTTCAGCTTTGCTGATCTTTTTCTCACCCGACTAAATGTTTGCAATAAATTGAAAGAAAACAAACAACAATATTACTTTAACACATTTTGGGAGGTATTCACCCTCTGTAACTCTGCCCTTCAAATCTGATCCCTGAATTAAGGCTCTAAACTCCCTGCACAGTCAAGGAAGCCTCCAGAACATACTGCACTCAATTTTCTTCTCATTTTCATGGTGCAATATATGGTCTCACAAATAACACATTATTCTAGGTTAGACATTCCTGAATGTGGCTACTCTAGGGAAATAATAAAATCTCTTGTTTTAATGTGGAAATCAGTAACAGGTAGATTTATAAGGAAGTAAAAGCAGCAACTTCAAATGCTTTGGGAAATCTTTGGAAATATGTTTTGGGATATAGGCAAGACTGGCATTTAGAAGCAAGACAACTACCAAAGACTTCTCTTTACTAAGAAATCCTAACTGCAACTCAGGACAGTTAACTGTTCAACCTTGACCCTAATCCTTGAATCACTATTTTTTAGGTTTATTTTTTTAATTTGAGTTTCTCAGAAATTACCTTCCTTATCTATTCTTTGCAGTCTGGGTATACATTAAAAATAAATAAATAAAAAGACAAGGTAAGTAACATGCAAAATCTCCTGTGAGGTAAGAGATTAACCAAAATAGAACACTTATTTGTGTCCTGTAATTCATAGCAACCACAGGTTCCTCACCAATGATACCCACAAACATTTGATGATTAGAACTCTGCACATGAGGCCATGTTGTCTTCCAGAGACTTGAACAGGTCATATCTCAAAAGCATCATTCTCTTTGTATTTGGCCCTTCACTTTTTTCCTTACCAGCAAAAAGGAGGATTCTTGGATGGGTTATTTTTTTATTAGAATTTTGTTTGGGTTTTGTATTTGGTTTTTTGTGTTGACAGAGCCTTGGGATGTTTAATCCAAAGTGTAGGACGACCACTGTCACTAGAAAACAGTACTTCGAGACACACAAGAAGACACCACTGATTTTCTGCTGACACAATATCAAAAGCAGCCTTAGGCTGCAATCCTCACCAACTAAGTTACTAAGGATTAAGTTATCTTTGTTCAGTTTTACTCAGTGTTTACACAGGTACTACTGCTGTGGAATTGCACACATAATCAACTGGCAGTCAGTGCACCTGGGGTCGATGGAAAGACACCAGGGAGGAGTTGTGCTCCTGAAGGCAGAAGCTGCAAAAACAAGGCCTGAATACAACAGATATAAATTAAAGAAAAAAAAAAAGAAGAGGGGGTGGAGGGTGGCAGGGAGAAAGATGGGCAGGAAGTAAGTCAAAATAAGAGCTTGGAAAAACCAGTGGGACAGAAGCTTTGTGTCCTGGAGGCTCCTGTTCCTCTTTCAAATTTGCTTGAGCCTGACCAACTGGCTCAAAAGAAATATAGGTTAAAAAAAAACAACCTCCCCAACTTTTTCTTTTTAAAAAGCACATTTGCATACCATTATGGTGCCACAGAACCTTTACTATGGCAGAACCTCTTAAAACCAATGATTTCTAGGCATTAAATCCAGATGTAACTGATGCTTACTTTAATTTCAGTAAGAAGTGCTTTGACATTTTAGTCATTTAATTTCCAAAACAACAGAATTGGGCTGGTACACTATCTAAATGAACACTGCAAAGGTCAAAATGCTGAATGTGAACTAAAGCAAATTTCTACCTTCCTACCTGTTCTTTTTTTTTAAGTTTCGGACCCTAGAAGTTCAGGGGAAAAGAAAAAAAAAAGAAAAAAAAAAAAGGACAGTGAGTATCAGAGAACAGGGCATCGAGTATTAAGGAATCATGAGGAAATACCAGTATTCTGTTAAATTAGGTGATATTAACTATTGAAAAATTATAATTTCAGTAATGCAGAAAATGAGCCACTAACATGTGACTCCAGACTATTTATCAGGCTACCTTACACCTATGGTTATAGAAGTGTATCTAATTATTCCTGCCGTTTGTTAAGAAACCAATTTAAAACAAATATACAGTCCGGGATACAATGTTAAAACATGTTTTCTGAACCTACTCCTAATAACAGTAAATTACATAATGCCATGACCTAGAACACAGAAACACCACTGGAGTCTTTTCTTATTCATGGAGAAACTGCACTAGAACTGAAAAAACACAACTAGGAGACATCTTCAAATGACGACAGGAAATGAGAACAGGTTCTATAAAGCCAGATATTTAATAGGGAATCCCTTATTTGATTTACCAGACAACTTTTCCTTGAACACTTCCAGGGATTGGGCTTCCCCAGCTTCCCTTGGCAAACTGTTCCAGTGTTTCACAACCCTCACACTAAAAAATTTCTTCCCAACGTCTACCCTAAACCTCCTCCCTTCCTGTTTAAAGCCATTACCTCTTGTCCTATGACTAACACACCCTTGTAAAAAGCCCCAGCTTTCCTGTAGCCCCTTCATGTACTGGAAGGTTGCTATAAAGTCTACCCAGAGCCTTTACTTTGGCTAAGTCACATCAAAAACTCTTTCAGATCTGCTAATTCCTTTTTTAATTGAAAACAAAAGTGGCATTTCATTTAATTTTCCTTTAATGTCCCATCCAACCTACCCTTGAACACTTCCAGGGATGGGGCTTCCACAGCCTCCCTGGGCAACCTGTGCCAGTGTCTCACCTCCCTCACACTAAAGAATGTCTTCCTAATGCACGAATGTGTGTAACTTCAGTCTGACTCGCTGCCCACACCGGGGTACTCCCTGTGGGGTGGAGGAGCAGCAGGGAAGGCGAGGGATGGCGGGGCAGTTTACTGGGGCGGGGCGACTCTGGCCACAGAGGTTTAGTTACCTGCAAGCTGGATTTCTCACCAAGCAGCACAAGAGAGGAGACCGGGGGAAAGCAGAAAAGCTACCACGCCCTTCCGACGACTGTCCAAACTCTTCCACCTTTTTTCCTTTTCCTCCTTTTTCCCTCCAGGCCCTGGCCCTTCAGCAGCCCGGGTG